TATAAAAACACACCGAAGAATAAGACGAATGAACGAACGAAGTAGACGAAATTCATATTTATCAGATAGGAAAAGGCTAAATAAAGTAAAACGACAATGGCCATAGTAAAATATAATCGTCAGTTCATGTTGAGTATCAAAACAAAATTTACATAGAGCGATCATTCTATATACATTATAATAAAATACACTTACTTTACAACTTGACACACATTTCATATTTCGATTGCTATTTATTGTAGGAATTGTCTAGTCTGCCAACAAATAAAAATATTTATACTGCCATTAGTGGCAAGTTAAGTTGTAATGTTATTCTGCCGAAGTTATTAAATATTCAAAAGTATTCCTTAACGCAATTTATAAACTAATATTTTAAATATACGGTATAGTGTAGTGAAATAGTTCTTATAGTGGCAATCTAACATAAACTGCTATTCTGCCACAAGTTATTACTCATTGGAATATATTACTTACTGCATATTTCATTGATCTGACAATAAAATGACCAGTTGTTCAAAAACAATGGCTCGACCCAAAGGGACAAAAACAGAAATAGGACTTAATGTCTAAAAACCGTGTTGTTAGATGTAAAAAACAGTACTTTTATGTTAGCCCTCCGTAATGTAAAATGATGATAATGATAATGTAAATTACAGGATTTCCCATACTAGCTTCTGGCCCCGCATTTTTAAATTCACTCTAGGGGACCACAAAACCACATGGAAATGGGGTACTCTATGTCAGAATAAAATTATGTCTTGTTTTACCTTTACAGAAGATTAACATTATATCTTAAATTGCCACTAGTGGTAGTATAATTACTAAACGGCTACTGGTGGAAGACACATCCTTTATTTGATTGTGTAGAGATAGGGTAATTTACATAAGGTGTTGCTAGGTATAGCGTAATTCTTACTATTTAAATTGTGGCATACAGAATGTAGTGATTTTCAAGACATATTAGACAAAGCACGTATTTATTAGTAATTTTAAGAAAAGTAGTAGTCGTAGGATTTGCGGCAATCATATTATTTTTTTAACATTTGGAAGAACACATACCGTACGACCTACGCTTTTTATTCACTATTTAAAGCCATCTTCAGTCGGTTTTTACAATAAATCTTTATTTTTTCTTTTATTTTAAGGGTTGATCCCTTGTGATTGTCATCAGATCTAGTTACAAATAATTATTTCTTTTTAAACAGATTAAAAATTAATAAATAATCATTGCTCCAAATGATATTTTAATTTTTTTTGTTTGTGTCCATGAAACATTGTGTTTTTATTAAAAGGGTAAATTTTATTTCAGAAAAATACGCGTATCATAATCATCTAGAATTAAAAAATTGCCTTATATACAGAAAAATAACATACCTTTTATAATTAACATTAACGTATATAAGTCTAATATTTTAACAGTTTTAGCACAGAATATAAATCTTTGAAGTATTGTGTAAGGCACGTTTATTTCTAAAGATTACATATAATCTTAAAATAGCTTTGGGAAATTCTTGAGACAGACGTCCCTAGTTGTTAACACTTAACAATTAAAAGATAATTCCCATATTGTCTTAACCACTTAACAACTTAAGGTTTGTTCATCTCTTCGCCTGTGGAAATCAGTCTTGACTGTCACGGTGCTAAAACCAGTTTTATTTCCCTCAAACTTTTTAAATAAGCAGCCACAGTAGACGAATATTTTCCTCAATTGTTTCCGTAAAACTAAACAGATAATAATCAGATAATTTCAATATTAATGTTTAGTTTTCGTCACGCGAAATTTATATAGGCCATTCAGATAGACAGTCACAGCAGATTGGTAGTATTTAACTTCTTACAACTAGATCCGTTTACCTAAATTCAAATGATTTCATTTAAAAAAAATTAATCGTTGAATTAAATTCAAGTTTTAGAATGGACCCAATAAATCATTATTGCTTATATTACCTTTATCGATTTTCATTAAAATATATACCCATTTATAAGAGTAACTTTAATCCATCATGTTAATCATGCGTTACAATTTTGTAACAAAATTATCCAGTGTACGAATTTTATTTTCTACGGTAAAATGATTTTATAAAAATTTAATTTTGACTTATTGTTGTTACTTTGCTAGCAGCAATTTCACAGTTACTAATATTCTACCAACATTAAATATGTCATCTATTTTGGCAGCAAGCTAGTTTTAAGTGCTGGCTCTGCTAAACGAATATTAAAAATTCGGCGTGTGCACATCAATTTCTACTTAAGATTAACAGTTTCTGGGTTTTTTTTTTTTCAATTTAAACATAACAATTTCTTCCAAAGGGGCCGCTTTGTTTGTGTTACTGGCAACCCAGCCAAGATGGCGGCGTCGAAGGCGTCCTTCAGCTGCTTCCGCGTTTTGGCAGACGTTCATACAATATCTAGAATTCATAAAGCATGTGTTTTAAACACACACATTAGCTTAACTTTTTTTATCTTAAATTAACTGAATAATTTGAAGATGTATTCATAATGAGACGTGTAAAGAGCAGTAATTTGCAAATTGTAATTTTTATTATACATTTATTAGCATGTAGCCATGTACATTACACAAAAAATGAAATCTACAACTCTTGCGTAGTCACGCCTTTCTTTACTAAATACTATTTCACACATAAATTGGTTATTACGCTAGGATATGCTAAGAGATAGAAATAGTAAATTTAACGCTTATATTTTTTACATTCCTTAACCAAAAATTTAAAATAACCGTTTAAAAACTTTTAAGTTAAACGGTTTTATTATGTTTTTTTTTTGTTAATTTTTTTTGTTAATATTGTATTGTCATCTAAATTAAATGTGTGTACCAAATTTCAGATCAATCGGCAAGGTGCTTAAATTTCAATTTCTAATTTTGACCCAAACAAACAAATTCCGTACGGGTCGAGCTAAATAAAACCGTTTAACAATTACAGAAGGGCTTTCTCTTGTGGTTAATGCAGATACTATGTGGCACGTACATTTGTGGCACGCACATAAATCGCACTGAGCACCTGAACAATCGCCCCCTATATTTCGTTAATAACACTAGTAAACTTAACGTCTTTTTTGCTTTTCAACCGTTACCCGCATAGGCTAAGGGTCCAAATCAAAAAGTAGTTTCGTTTAGATAGGCTCCAACGTTTCTTCGGTATATTTATCTCGGGAGCATATCTTATTGTGCAACACAGATAAATCAAAAAGAAATTGTGTATTGCAATCCCTTAAGCCCGCATCAACTCTGTCGGATACTATCGACGAAAGAAACATTAAATAAAGGCCGCGGGGTGAGAAAATACAGTGGTTACATACTTGACGCCAAGATAATAATGGCCTCTGGGGTTTTTTTACGTACGCGAAATTGCTAAATACGATTCTTAGAATATTATGCGATCTGTTCGCAGCATATTAGTCTTTTGTCGTTTCCTCGAAGATTTCGAAGGTAATGAAGAAGTTGGTTTAAATTATGTTTAACCTGATAAGATTACCCGGAGGATCGAGCTTTTAACTCGGTTTCTTTTTTTTTTTTTACATTGTTAATCGTGTATTTTGGAAATTTTTAGATACAAATTACCTTAAATATGCAGAAATTTTTCGATCTTACCGACGTAAAAAAGAAAATATTTTATAAACTATATTTTTCACAAAAGAAAGAACTTTAAAAAAAAGTTTAAAACAATTTAAAAATAAAGAAAGCAATGATCTGGAATCGAAAATAAAATTTAAAATTAATATTTAAATGATCGTGACGCGAACCACGGCCGTTATTTTGTGGCCGCATTATTTACCGAGCATTTAATTTTCTCTTGCGGCGAAATTTGACCCGACATATTCGAATTATAAAATTTTTATTCCCTGAAAACAGGGATAAAAGGACATTTATTAAAAATTAAACCTAGCTAGATCGATTTTTCGTACCCCCGAGCTTTGCTCGCACATACTTTTTTTTTTTTTGGAAAATCGCTGGAGCCGTTTCCGAGATTCCGATTATATATATATATATATATATACATATATACAAGAATTGCTCGTTTAAAGGATAAGATATATAATTCGAAGGTGGACTGTACCCTGATGCCCTTTTTACAGAGAAGGCCTTTACTTTTTACTTTATTCAGATTAACGCTTTTGGACATTCCAATTGATAAAGCAAAAGATAGTATCTATTATAAAAATTTTTTTATCATTGAATTGAACAATAATTCATATTACGCAACGTAACTATATCACCCAACCTTTTGCGATTGGATATCATGGAAATATAAACTATTGATCTAAGCGATCTTCTTCATATTTAAATTTTGTCTGCTGTATGCACTAGCAAATCTCACAAAACTGATTCAGTCCTACAATATTATACATTGAAGGAATCCTACATTATCTCTATGAAAGACACATGGGTAACTGCTAAGTCTACAACGCCTAAGGGGTGGCAATGTGTTGTCGACCTATGTACGAAAAAGTGGTTTCCGGTTAGTTCACTCTCCAGACGAAACGCGAAAGTTATAACACTTTCACTTTACGCTCCAGTCTTTTGTGAGGCGAATACTTCAAACTAGCCTGACCATTCGTGCACCAGTAGGAGCAGCTGCGTGGCCTTACTGCGGACCCATTTTTTTTATGTGTTTAAGTGACAAACCAGCTGGCGGTTCACCTGATGTTAAGTGATAACCACCTGCCCATGGACATTTGCAACACCCGTAGGGTTGCAGATGCGTTGTCACCTTTAAATAAAATCGGCCCCGACTACCTCACTCACCAGACGAAACGCAGAAGTGCACTTCTGCTTTACGCCGGTCTTCTGTGAGGTTGTGGTACTAACCCGGACGGACCTGCCCATTCGTGCAAAAGCTAACACTGTTGCGTGGTCCTACCACCGTTAAAAGAAATTAAATTTTTACCAAATTATCCGCAGTGATGAATTTATAATGAGACGAAAACGCTAACAACTATTAGTACATACAAAGAATAGAGGACGTCTTAGGTGGACGCTAGTTAGTAACGTGCCTTACCTTCAGTCCCTGTATAACTTTTCCATCCAGCGCTAGGTCGCTCTGCGTGCCGACCAGGATTAAGGGCGCGTTCACATTGGCGACCGCCTTCGTCCACCTCTCGGCTACCGAGCGGAAGGTCTCCGGTCGCACGACGGAGAAGCACAGCATCAGGACGTCCGTGCCGGGGTAGCAGAGTGCCCGCAGCTCCGACATCGAGTCCTGGAAACGATCGGGGTGAACGTGAAGAATTTTAACAGAAAATAAGAGAACAGAGAAAAATATGAGATAGTAAGAGCAAAGAGCAACATTTCTGTTGCTCTTTGCTCTTTCTGACAAGTGACTGCTCTTTTCGGGATTTTTCTAAATTTGAATTTTATTATAGTAGTATTTTAGTACTTTTTGGTGATTCTTAAAAGGAATTTTGTGTATGACTATGGAATGTATGTTGAATTACGTATAAGTGATTAGTCGTAATAATTAACTCGTAAATGTCTTATTATAGAGGAAAGACCGCCATATATTTTTATGGAAAAATCATGATTTGTTTTCGTTGTTGTATAACAAGTACCTTTCGACTTATGTAACTTCCAAATTAATTAATACTAAACAAGATATTTAACATTTTGTTTTTCACACACAGTTTCACACAAGTATGAATGAAGTTACAAATACAAATCCCAATTGATTATTCTTCTTAATAAGAGCTTCATAAGATTGATAAATAATGCATTTGAACAGAGCTTTATCCGTTCATGGTAATTTTACATTTACATTTGAATAAGCATGTCTTGCGACCAAAGGTTTGACGACCGAAGCCATATTGAGCGTCGCAGTCTGAGAATAAACCTGAATAAATTATCGATTCCTTTAATTTAAATATGCTATATTTATAAAGTACCATATTGGTTAAGCAATTATATAATAAATTGTATTACTTTAAAAGGTTTACCCTTTATAACGTTGTTGCGTTAAATATTGGTAATAGCTTTGTCTTTAGTTTTTTTTTATTGGGATTGAAGTTTCTCTAATTCAAATGTTTCTTTTAACTTTACAAGCAACTTAAAAGAATCCATTGGTAAAATAATCCAAATTGGATTTACTTGTTAATTTAGTAATTTAAACTTTTGACCTTTCTGAACTTTTTGACACGAGTTTATTCAACTCTTGTATAACGGAGAATGTAATCCCGTTTAAATCAATGTTATTTAAACATTGTATCTCTCCAGTCAAAGCACTTAGGTTGAACAGTGAGTTGAAATTTTTCTCTTGAGTTTAATTCATTAACAATATGTATAATTGTAGGACTATAATATAATAGTAGGACTACAAGCAATCAAATAATAGGATTGGTTATTCTTTTTAATACATTTTATATTGTTATAGTATGTATCCAAAAAATAACAGTTTTTTTTATCAGTTGGCTGCTTCAGGTACATATTACATAAAAGAGGATAAAAGAAGATTGGAGATATAAAATTTGCACAATTGATGGGATCGGGAAACAAGGCTTAGCAAAAAGATTGCCAGGTTCGGTTGTGGGAAGATTTTAGCTTAAAAGCGGGTATAGCGATAAACTGTGGGAAACCGGAAGGAGGTAAGTAAGCACTGGCACAATGCAATAGAAAAAGTCTTGGGTCCGTTGTTGAAACGGATTTGCGCTGCCGCTATAGCGCACATGCCGTTTTTTATCAGACGCCAGGTGACGTTTAGGGATTGCTAGCGATTACTTTGGCAGGGGACCGGCAGCTAGCAGGAAGGGGAACCAGGATGCTACGCATTTCTTGAAGATAGGGGACGTTAGAATCGAGCTGATCAATTACTTCCTCGGCTTGATACGGCACGTTGTTATTTATTTTGGATAAAAACATCGTGATGTCTTCTGAACACAAAGCGATCAAGCCAGCAATCGCAAAATTTTTTCGCGATGTAATGCAGTATTAAAAATATATATACAGATAAATTTGAATTGTTATTTTTGTTATTTTATGGTTTGTTTGTATGTACCACATAAATATTTCTTTCTTTCTTTCAAGGATAACTGGTTCAAGATAAAAGTTACTGTCGGAAAAGGTTAAAAGAAGACCGTGTGGGTATGTATACTACAAAGAGCGCCCTTATAGTTTTAAAACTGATTTTTTCCCGAAAGTAATGGATAAGGAAAAATATAAGATTTGTTCTTCAATTCTTTGAATAAACTCTTCCGGGCGTATCTCGCATCTATCTTAGGAACTGTGATAGAATACTTACCTGGGCATTTGTAAATGACGTATGATAATCTAATAGGTACTATTTCAAAATGTAATCGCTTACCTGGCCAGCAGTATCACAGATTTCCACGCAGATAGGCCGGTCATCCACGTCAACCACAACTATAACAAAAACCAAGAAATCAGTATATAGATACTCGTATGTAAAACACATTCATATAAGGAATAATGGTTAAGTTTGTGTGTAAAAATCGAGTTTAAATCAGAACTTAAATAAGTTTATAATCAATAAAAACTTATAATTATAAAATTTGTTACTTGTTTCACGAAATTAACCCAAAAACTTACTCGATAATAAGAAATCTCAAGGTCTAATCGCTTATGACGTGCAGTCCTATTTAGGTCGGTCATTATTTTTGCATTACCGTAAGACTCATGCAGATCGATTTTATTAATAACAATCACTGATCACATTGGAATAAAATTTGTCCCGTAAAAACGAGGCAGACAAATTTTACTCGTCATGCATATAATACAACATATCCTAATCTCTTGTAAAAAAAATTCTTGAAATTCAAAAAATATAAAATTAAACAATTGTCTGGATTTACATACATACTTGTTCATGCATGATTCGTCAGAAATAAAGAACGTTTACTGGTGGCTGAACCACAAAAGCTATCGGTTGGATTAAGTATTAAGGTCATTACCCCCACTTTATTGCAATGCAGATGAATCACAAATCATTTGTCCGTATCCGGATTAAGGGACTAATTACCTAGTTCTACCTTAGTTCATCGTGAATAGAAAATTAGACCTAATTCAATCAGTAAAACAGAACTGTGCCATGCATTTCGGAATATTTTTCGAATTACAAGGATACTCTCACTGGCGCCATCTAGTAAAAAATGTGCGAAGAGGTAAGGAGAGATTGTTTTTTTAATTTCTTTTGCATGCCCTCATTGAAGGTGAAATCTTGATAGGTTGTAAAAATCTTGACATATAACCGCAAGCACATCACACATAACGACCCTTTCTTTTTAATAACGTATAAAAGGTTTTAAATAATACGACGATGCACTCGAAAACTCGAGTTTAACGATGTTCGTTAATGCTACCTACCTTCGTTGGGTTTTGTTCATTTTATTTTATCGAACATATTTGCGACGATTACCCAAATAATTGCAAGTGATAAATTTACCCCTTTTCCAATTAAATACGGACGCCGTGTTTTAATCAAAAAACTAAACAGAAAAGACGAAATATTCTCTTCTAGCTGATACCCGCGGTTTCGTCTGCGTTGCCTATTATTTATACAACTACAACTTTCCCTTCTCCACCCAAGAAATATCGTTCTTTTAGATATGTTATAATTACTTAACATTGCATTAAGATATGAACCATATTTTTTTAGATAAGACCCAACGGTTTAAGAAATAAAACTTAGAAAACTCTTGAAATCTTTGAATAAATTTATCCGTGATGCGCGCACAACGGAGACCTCTATAATTCTATTGATATGCATTTTATTGCAGTAAACTACAATTAATAGTTAATTTCTCTCTAGTTTCAGCGGGTTACTTCTAATCCAAGAAAAAACGTTTCTGTTATAACTATTAAACTACTAATTTCATACGAAGAGTATCATCAATACGTCTTTAGGGTGGCAGTAACAAGAATTAATGCTATAAAGGTTGTTGTGTTCACTTATTTAATCAAATTGTTTACTCCGAGATTAAATTCCACGGCTTTAGCTGGAACACAGGACATAACTGGCGTCGGAGCTGGCCGGAACCCGTTTGTCTGTGGCCCGCATTCCATCAAATTTCTTATACCTACAGCTTTGTACAATCGGACGTAGAAATATAATAGTGTATTGGAGAAATATTTATAACTGCGCCTTCGGAGTATATATTTGTACCTAGATTGAATGTGTATAAACTTTCTTTATACAAATATCATTGTGGTAAAGACAGACAGATATTTTTAAAGACAGAGCCATTTCAAAGTAGGTACCTTTAGCACCGTAATGGAAAACCATAATCTGCACCAGTGATTTAGACCTTGTGAATTCTTCACAGTACGGAAAAGCTTTCGAGCATGAATAAGACGAGCCGTTGGTCAAGATTGCTTTTTTTAATTATTGGATAACTACAAATTGTGAACTTAGTTTTGATTAACGTTTTTTTTTGGTCACAGCCTTCTTAAAATAGATGCTATAACAACTGTTTAGAATTGTTTCGGATGGTGCTATAGTGGTCGAAATTAGATGTAAGAGTATCTACAACACCGTGATTCTAATGTAGCACTTCGAAATCAAAGTCGAGAGCGTTATTTTCAATTTAGATAAACTTTAAAGCAATCGTAAAAGTCTAAATCCTTCCCCGATATGTCAAACCAATAATACCCATCAAAAAGAACGCGCAAATACTCAAAGAACGTATACTATTCCCACTTTACTGTCAAAGGTCAAAACTAATTAGCTATTATTCTTTTTTTGGGGAAAAAATACCAGTAAATCTGGCTACTGGCCAGAAATAAAGTGCGATAAAGTGAAAACTGACAAGTAAAATGTTAAAAAAGTTCCTATTACAATTTGTGATTTGGGAGCTTCAGCTCGACGTCCATTTATCAAACAACAAAGGAAGTACTCAGATTTATGGATTAGGAAGTCATCATAATTCTATTGGAGACTAAATAAGAGTCTCGGTGCACGGCTATGGTCATCATTGTAACTCACTAAAGGAGCAGATATGGCGTGTCCATAATTCTATTTCGATTAGAGCGAATAATTAATTCCTTACACGTTTAGTCCCTTAGGATTGAAGTATATCATTGGCCTCTAAATGAACGTGTCGGAAATAGTATAGTATAGTAGTTCATACTCCTAATGTACTATGCCGTAAGTACACTAGTAATTCAATAAAATATTCAATGGCATTTTTGACTATGTAACAAGGTAACTTTTAAGATTTGTAATTTTAGATATAATACCCACCCTTCTTGACCTTTATTAGACCTAGCATTAAATGTTTCCATTGTCTTAATTATATGTTTTTGTGTTTAAACATTCATTTGGTCTTAGCGACTCTAATACTTCTGCATGCCAATAACAAATATGTAGTGATAGTAAGAAAGAAAATAAAACTAAAACTAACATTAAATTTAATTGCGACTGAAGTTAATGTGATGACTTTTGAACTAATATAGGTCTCGTAATTGTTTAAATAAAAGCTTTTGCGTCGGACCCGACTTGGTAAATTTTTCTCACGCTGTCAAATAACCACACGTACTGCATTTCTACTTCAATGCGTGCAGTGACGTTAAAGATGCAAATCGCTTGGCGCGCAACTCGATATCGCAGTGTTTTCGGTAAGCATGTCGACATCTGTTAGGTCCGAATAGTCGACCCTAACTTAAGTGCCGCTACTGTTCTAGTTTTTCCACTGAAGCTCCGGAATCGTTTTTAAATGCCAAAAATCAATAGTAAATATAACAATATTGCTTTGAAATGTTGAGGTCTTATTTGATGTGATAATAATAATATTTTCAAATCGTTTATGAAACCGCTGTACTTCCCAATCACGGCCTCGTAGACCAGCTTAAAATTAACATGTTACAATTATTGCATATCGTCTGGTGATTGAGGTAGCCGGAGCGCAGCCTCTTACGTTGCCAAAGAAACTACATCCATGGTTGACGGTCTATGGGCGACCGTGAAACCATAAGATCACACTCAATCAGACATGATAACATCATCCTGTCAACATCCTGACAACATCCTGTAGTTCGTCCTCGGCTACGAGCACGGCGAAACCACCACACCACAACCTACATCCGCGTTTTGGTGCGGTTCCCACAGCCAACCAAAGTTGATGTCCACACCCTATATATACCTCTACGGCCCGTAGCAATAGCAACCCCCCTTAACTAATGCACGCATGTCAACATGCACAACTCTATCAGTTTTGGACGTAACAAATGACCACTTCACTAATGCACGCATGTCAACATGCGTAACTCTACTAGCTTGCGGCGTATCAAGTGACCACTTTATCAAACACACATCATCAAAATATTACTACTTACTCTACTATTTTGGGGTGTATCAAATGATGACCACTTTACTAATGCACGAACGTAACTACAAGTGCAGGGTCCGTCAGGCTCATGCAACCTCACGTTTTACGGGTTCTACGAACGACCTACCCGTATGTAGTTTCCGGAATGAAAGCAATATATGATACAAGACATCACTGGTCATCAGAGGAACTGTCTACTCCTTAAACACATAATAGACTAAGCGTTCCTTTCCGAAACGCTCGAACGCCGCTCTATATATCGGCTACTCCGCTCCGGTGCGCGACGCAAAAAGGTTACAGTTAACCGTTCACGGTTAGTTGTTTTCGGTGGCTGGAGCTGGAACACGATACGTCACGACCTGTTTCCGCCGGCCGCGGGTGGGTTTCGCGTTACCTGGCCAGGGCTGCCACCTCGGAGAAAGATAATATCAAAGTATCTTCTTAACTGATCTTATCGAGTTAGTAATATTGGATTCATATTTAAAGTAGGACTACACAGCAGATTCTACTGTTGCACAAATGGGCAGTCTCATCCGAGGAAGTGGCCATGGTCAACGTGCAATGGAAATATTATGTTTTCATGTTTCTTCTGGTGAATGAGGTATACGGAAGCATTTTTTAAATGGTTGTCCACGGATCTACAACCTCTCAGGTGTTGCAGATGTCTATGAGTGGCGATTATTGTTTAACATCAGATGGACCGCCAGCTCGCTTGACAACTTTTCACATAAAAGAAAGATTTCTTAGCGGTGGTATTTTCCTTATTACATTTAAAATAAAAGCAACAAACGGATACGAAATAGGAAGTTTATCGCGAAACAATGTTTTATAAGGCGTGGTTCCTACATTAGGCCTTGTGTTGGCAACCCTGTGTGCAATCACGGGAAACTGCGATTCATAATTGGAGGCATTACATTGCACAGGGGGTACTAAGAATGCGTGGGTATCTCTCTTCGGTTCTAAATAACGCACATATGGATGGCACTCCATTGTTTTGCATGGACTTTATTGAACCGATCACCGATGACATAATAAAGTACTTTATGCGTACAGAAAGAAACTTATAGCAGAAACATTGCA